CCGACATTTGAGCGACCCCGACATTAGACACTTTTCAATATGACTTTTTGCCGATCAGGAAAGTCGAATGATTATTCACTTCGATAACGATGATCAGAATAATTTTTTTGTCGTCCGATTTTGAACTGAATTATTTGGAGATCAGTAGAGGGTGAGGCTGTGTAGGGTAAGGGTGGGTGGGGGTGAGGGTGAGCACTTGGTGCTGAACTGTCGTTATTACTCAAATGTCGGGGTCGCTCAACTGTCGGTCGCTCAAGTGTTGGTCGCTCAAATGTCGGGGCGCTCAAATGTCGGTCGCTCAAATGTCGGAACGCTCAAATGTCGGGGCGCTCAAACGTCGGTTAATCATAAAATGAGGAGAAATCATGGTCAGATGTACAGTTTAATATGTCTGTCTTTAAAATATAAAGTTTAAAGTATTTATTCACAATAATTTGAATTTATCCTAGTAGAAATCAGAATTCGGGTTTTTTCGTAGGAAAATTTTAATATTTCCTATGACAAATGTATAAGACCTTCAGAATATCGCATTTAGCTGTTCATAAAGTGCAAGAATGATTTGTTGTTATTTGATGAATTTTTTTGCGGATGAGTACCGTTATGTTCGATAATCGAAGTAGATGATATTAAAAAAATTTAATACATCGTATCGCTAATTAATACTAAGTTATTTTTCTGAAATATCAAACATTCGTTGCTTATAGAATAAGAAAATCTCCGATTTATCAACTCACAGCCATCTTCAAGGTGCCTGCTAAATGTTATTTCGATGATGTTCAAGGTGAATATAGTAGAACTTTTTTGAGAAACTAAGTTCGAAACTCAGAAAATACAGATCCTTCCAATCTAAGTCATAGAAATAAATTTCCTCAGGAACATACAGATCATCTCATTAAAAATATATTTTAGATGCAGATTCTAATTTATGAAAAATCAAAAAGCACTCCCGGTATCAGCTTAACAGGAGACCATAAGAATAAATGATGGTATTTCTTTCTAACGAGTTTATTTTCTATAATATAGCAGATCTATATAATCTGGTACAGACTAAAATTCATTTAGTCCAGCAATTATATTGCAAAAGCAATTTTTGAGAATATCCTATGTATTGATATTCTAATACTGCTATAAGATAAACAACAAGATCTCAAAATAGACAAATGTATATAATCATTTCAAACCACTTACCACTGATTGAAGTACCATCAGGTTCGTTAACATCGAGTAAGTCAATTTCACCATAAATTTTCCACATGCCCCAGTCAAGAACATTTCTTAACAATGACCATCTCCATAAATTTGTACCCTCATTCTCTAGATAGAACCCACCATTTACAGTTTTGTTCCAATGTACTTGATTTTTAGTTGTAATTAATGCATAGGATGTGATAGAATAACCAAATAAGAAGATTAGAATGAAAAAAATGAAAAAAAGCAAATCTTTCATCTAAAAAGTATCATTAACACAAACAATCATTTCTACAGTCAAGATGTATATGCTCAATACTGACCGTATGAAAGATCATTAATAATTTTGGTCCAAGTCTCTTGTATGCTGAAAATACTTGAAGCATACGAATATACCACAAGAATAAATCAATTACCATAAAAATTCTTTTAGAAAAAACACATTGGTTACTAAGTGAGATGGATGAGAGAATAGAATTATTCTTAATCATACTTTGATACAATGAACACCTCTTCAGTAACAGTAAATCGTGTACCGAAACCAATCAGATAGGTTAAAATAGCTATAGCATCCAGAAAATTCCATTTATCATCATCAAAATACTTCCAAACGCGTCGACGGATACTCATTTGATTACTTGATCCACGTGTCCAATACTGCTGAAACTACAGAAAATAGTGTTTAGAAGAGAAATGGAATTATCTTAGTACTGAACTTACATCTCGTATTTCTTCAGTAATTAGACACCACATGCAGACGTGAAGGATTATTTCAGTTATTGGAATGTACAAGTCTTCAAAACCATTACGTTTACCATTGTTTTTATTCAATGGAAAATAATCAACAAGTAAAACAAAACTGAATAGAGCCAAAAACAGAATATAGTAGATCTAGGTAGAAAAATATGATAAATGAATCGCAAAATCCTGGATAGATGAAGTAAAATTACATGTGAAAAGGCATGAATGAAAACCTTAAACTTTCTCATAACATATCAGATTTCCAAAAACATTCGATGTGCAAAATTTTTTGCAGTTTCTACAAATATTCCGCACTGCAGATGTCCCAAGATTCGCCCACAGATCTGTAAAAAAACTCTTTGCAACGTCTGTCCAGTTTCTTTGCAGTAAATCTGCAGATTACACTTGATCTCATAATAGTTTATTTTATAATGATTTACAAAATGTAGCGTATAGTTCAGTAGGGACGCCGGCCAAAAGCATATGGCAAAGACAAAATCTTTTGTTGCTCGTCTGTATGAATATGCAAATACTACATATTTGACAGCGCTATATTATTCTACGATTGTTTTGATTGTTGTCATGAAGTTTGCACGCTTTAGAAAATAAAAGTTGTTGATTTTCCAGCAAAAACTTGAGTAAAAAACTATCATGTAGTTCGGAAAACAATATGTCGGCAATCGTAGCTCCGACTTCATTCGTGTTTACATACTTTAACAGATCCTGTTATATTCGTTCGTATCTCTATCCACGTTGTTTTATCAAACGTGATGTATAGAAACAGCTGACATGTATGTAAGGTGATTTTTCTGTTTGTTTTTGGTATGGTTGGATAGAACTCATCGAGTTGCATCGGAAAAATACAACCCCACATTTTAAGAAGCCGTTTTTTGGTGAAAAAATTTAAAAATACTTCACTTTTTGAAAATAAGCAAAAACCGTGAAATTGTCAAAAACAAGAAAATTTTTCATACAGTTGAAACCGACCGCTAAATCCACGAAACAGGAGCAGAATCATAAAAATCCTATTGTGAAGTTTCAAATGTATCTGGTTTTTTTTCATTGAAAGACTAAATATTAATTGTTATTTTCTTCTAATCAATATACTTGTAGGAAAAAAGTACTCGACGCTTTTTTAAAATTTTGTTTTGTTGCTGAGAAATTTCATTTTTTCTAAATCAGAGTGAAAAACTCGTAATTCTCAATTTCTTC